GATGATGGCCACACTGCAATCCCTTCTCCTCCATTCTCCTCTCAGGATCTTGGGCATGCACGCACATGCGCCTGGTGTGAATTTAAGCCACTGGATCCAGGATTCGAATCGCGGTCAACTATGTGGGAGTCCAGCGACATAGCCATTATGCTAACTGCTGGTTCCCTTATCTTTTTTATATCATGTAATTCTTTTTTGAGGGAAAGGTTTTTGCTATAGGGCATGTGCACTCGCCAGAAAGACAGAGAGAGACAAAGAGATAGAAAGTGAGAAATCAGGCCCCAGGGGTTTGGCCACACCACAATCCCTTCTCCTCCATTCTCCTCTCAGGATCTTGGGCATGCACGCACATGCGCCTGGTGTGAATTTAAGCCACTGGATCCAGGATTCGAATCGCGGTCAACTATGTGGGAGTCCAGCGACATAGCCATTATGTCAACTGTTGATTTCTATACTGTGTAATTCTATGAACTTTCTTTTTTTAAAAAAAAGGTTCATGTACTCACTGGAAGGTAGACACAAAGGGATAAATCACCTCCTAGGGAGGATGGCCATGCCTCAATTTCTTTCCTCCATTCTCCTCTCAGGATCTTGGGAATGTGTTTGGCATGAGTTCCAAGCTGCAGGGTCCAGCACTTGAACCACAGTTGACTACATGGCAGTCCAATGATATAACCATTATGCCATCTGCTGGTCCCTAAACTTTTTGAAGACTGCTCCATATAAATGATATCACAGAATCATGACCAAAAGACTAGTTTCATTCTGTCCTTCAGGTCTGAAATGAGAAGGCAACTCCCCTGCTCAGGCCCTTCGTTCACTCCTTCCTGTTATGACAGCTTCCTGCCTCTCCTAATGGCAAGCAGCAAAGAAAAATTCCAAATACTCTGCAACTCATGATCACCTGTGAATAAGACTGAGGCTTTACTGTCTTGTCAGGGAACTGAAGCACAAATAAGTGACAAAGTTGCACAATCAGAGGCAGTGACCAAGTGGCAAATGATCACTACTGGGATGCCATCCATGCCAGAGTCTTGAAAGGCCATTGTTATATCAGGATTTCTCATGGTAATAAACATATAAGATACTTCATAATCTCATTACTATAATTTATTCAGACATCAAATTCTTTCTTTCTCACTGATTTACAATCAAGTGGGAGTCTATACATTTATTTGTAAAGGGACTATTTAGACCATGTAAAGTATTGTCTTGTGGAAAAAGTGTCCTAACAGCCCTTGGGGACTGAAAATAGGTCATGAATATTCGTTAAGCCTACCAAAATAATGATCCCTTCTCTGCCACTTTCTTTAAACCTCATTACTCTTTTGTCAAATGTACTATTCAGCCTCTGCAGTCCAAAAACATTTATTTCTTTTCTCTTTAACCCCCAGAAACTAACAGGGCCTCTCTCAGGAGAGAGAAGGAACAATTTTCTACAGCCACATAAAGAGGAAATGACTCTAGAATATTCTCAACTTGCCAGGTATACCAAATTGAAAATCAAACAGTTTTTGTTCACCTGGAAGTAGTTGTCCTAACTTTGGATTTAAACTTCTTTATTCTTTGGCTTATAGGAAATTCTCTAGCACTCAGCAGGGACTATTTCTATATGTTTTCTTTTCCTCTATGCACATTTCTGTTTCTGTGGATTATGATCTTTTTAAATGAAAAAAAAATGTAAGATTTTTGCCATATGGCATATGCACTCTCTGGAGAGAGCCAGAGAGAGATGATGAAAAGGAAAGTGAGAAATCACCTCCTGGGAGGATGGCCACACCACAATTCTTTTTCCTCCATTCTCCTTCTGGGATTTTGGACACACATGCACACCTGTTCAGCATGATTCTCAGGCCTCCAGGTCCAGGCCTCCCACCGTGGTCAGCCATGTGGAAGTCAAGCACCTTAACTACCACACCATCTGCTGGCCCCCCTGTGCATTTTTATCCAAGCCCATGTCAATGTACTAAAAGATTGTACAGTGTGAATTCACTAAGCACAGCAGTTTGCCCCACACAGAGTCCAGTAGATGTTTAGAACAATTCCTCTAGTTTGAACTTTACAATGATAATTAACTTGTTTTGCCTCAGATAATGATCTGGTTGACTGCTCTTTGAGGTTCCATTCTCTCTTAATAGTTTGGTTGTAGCATCTAATTATCTATAACTCACGATGATGGCAGGTATCATCATTCTAATTAGTAAATTAACTCTCTTACAAGGGAGTTACTGGAGGTGGTAGGGATGGCTTTAAATGAAAAACATTTTGCCTTTCTTTTGTTTGAACAATTTTTAGAATCATTTCTAAAATATTACTTACATGATGCTATATCATTTTAACTTTAATACAGTATCTTTGAAGTTCACTTTTGAACTCATTGGTTTTGAGTAATATCAAGAGAATTTATGGCACTTTTATAAAACATCCAAGTTTCTCTAGTGACTGTGGGACATTTGTAGATCATGAAAACAATTTTGGTCAGTGGCCCCAGACCATTAGTGGACATACTGTTAACATGCACTGATTAGTATCCTCATAACCTGGAGGAGTGAACACAGAAACATACCAGTTTTATTTATGTATTTTTTTGGCCAAGGTTTATTATATCATGGCAAGGCAATAAAGAGAAGTTGTACTCAAGTGGAATTTTGGTGTCATGCTGCTGTGAGTACTAAATTGAGTGGTTTTCTAGAATGTATTTCTTCTTCTATTTAGAGATTTCATTGATGCTTCATAAATTTATATGGTGACTATATTATTCATTAGTGAATTTAGTGTTTTGGGTGGCAACTGAATACTAAAACCACCCCCCTCCCCCCAAAAAAAACCTTGCTGTGATTTACATCATCAAAAGAATTGAAGACAGAGCTCTAGTAGTCCTGTGGCTGAGGGGCTATATGGCTTTAGAAAAGTCACTTTGCATTATGTAACCTTATTTTCTCAGGTATAAGATTAAGAGAATGTGACCAGTTAATCTTAAGTATTTCTTCTAGTTTTATGATTCTATTATTTCCCTTGTGAAGTTTTACAGTTACCAAGTAGATCTAGTTCTATCAAATACTTAGTTTTCCTAAACACATCCTATTGATTGGTATTTTGGTGTTTTCTTTTGTCAGTATCTCATGTTCAATAGTAAGAGTTAATCAAAATAAAATAAGACATAACA